TGTGCTGAAGAGTTTGAGGCCTTTTGGGTCCTTGTTTTCTCTCTGGAGAAACACAGCAACAGCAGACTGTGAAACAGAGTACTGCTGCAACAAGGCCAAATGTTAGACTCTGGGGAGCCTGCCTGCCACAGCTGGGAATCCGCGCAGGGGCAGGGAAAGAGATGCTTAAAGCAGATTAGCCAATATTAAAAGGACTAAGCTTTTGTTTGTGGTGAAACGACTGCTCTGACACAAACGATGAATTTGTGACGTATTCACTAAAAGGAATGAAACTTTCTCCGGTTAGACACAATCTCTTAGTTTATCTGACAATTACCAATATTGTAGCTGTTTTTTTGTTCTTTGTTTACCTCAGACTTAAGGCGCCTGGAGCGTCTCTCAGGCAGAAGCCTCTCTTTGGTTTGCGTTGCATCACCCTCCCCATCTTTCTCCTTCTCCTTTTCCTCTTCCTCGTCTTGCTCCTCTTCCTCCACCGCCTCCTCACCAACTCCCTCATCTACTTCCTCACCATCATCACCCTCATCATATAGCCTCTGGATGCCCTGAGTGGAGAAAGGAGTTGGGTGAAAGGAAATGAAAGTTTTACAAAATAGGGATATTATTATTAGGCACAAAGCTATTTGCAGCAGGTTTAATTTGGTGAAGTCAAGTTTGGTTGGTGTCACACAGTATGAAGCAGTCAAAGGCTGAAATGTGACAGAGACACTGGCAGCAGCCAAACCAAATTTAGCTCAATGGGAGAAGAGTCATTTCATTATCAACACCCACTCACATGCTGTGTAAATTTACTTGCTCCAACTGTACAATTTCAGTTAAAATCATTTTGGGTGTCTCGTACACAATGGTGCAAAATGGTTCCATTCCTGAATCAGTGTGCAACATCAACAACATTACGTCAACATGTTTGCGGATGTTCAAGCTTCCACAGTGTCTGCAAGACAACACTGTTTTGTCAGAAGACAAACAAGCAAACCTGCTTATTTTCTCGCCTTTTTAAAACGTATCATGAGCTTAAATCTAATTAATTGCAATCTTTGTACCAATTACAGAATTACAGACAAACTGGCATCAGCATCACTCACAGTTAGCGTGGCTCCAGACTGAAAGAGCTCATACGGGTAAAGGATCCGCTCGTAGTGGGAGCGCAGCAGCGAGCCGGCGCCTTTCCCCGATGGGAAACCCATTCGGCTGGCCACCTTCGACCACCTTTTCTCTTTACACACGGTCTCAAAGCCGCCCTCGGATGACACAATCTGAAAAACACACATGTGCAAGTGTGCACACAGTCAAATGCAAAACAAACGATAAGAAAATGTCTTTGCGAGAAGTAAATTAAAGTGGATAACTTTAAACGACTACATGCAGTGTGCAGCAGCAGTCAATTAAAGCATCTGCCAAAGTTTTGATGATATTTTATAAAATCAGAAAACAAATTATAAAAAAACGGGTTAATCAATCTTATTTTCAAGTTGTAGCAAAACATCTCGCAGCACGACAAAAGCATTCATCCTCATTTATCCATGAAAATCAACAGTACATAATTATTCTAAAAACAAACAGCACACACACATAAAAACAAATCTAAATGTATCTAGTTTTACCTTGCTTAGCTGATAGAGGTCCAAAATCTTTCTCTCCACATGAGGGAATCGAATCTTGGATCCCTGCAGCTCCCAGAATTTTGCGATTTGATCCAGAAAGTTGAGCTTAACCCGAGTGAGGGCCTGGACAGGCAGGGGAGAGGGGAGAGAGGTCAGACTCTAAGTGCATGAGCCCAGTGTTCTGCTGTTATACACACTGGACACCTCAGGCAAAATTATGTCTGAATGGCTGCACTTTGATACACGAAAATACTGCTCTGGTTAGTTGAAAACCTTATAACTCTGATCTTGAAACCGTGCTGCTGCCCTTTGGTTTACAAGCATTAAACATCAGAATTGAGTAACACAAATCCAGGCTTCACGGGTGTGAGACAGAAGACACTGTAGTTGGAAAAAGAGTCTACATAAGCTGCTTCTATCCAAGGAGCATTGATGGGTTAATTAACAGCACACCTTGCAGCACCGCATGTGATGAAGACTCTGTTTCTCCCAGAAATGTCTATCAAAACAGAATGCAATTTGAATAGTTTCCAAAATACCTGCTGCCATTCTGAATGTTTCTCTGTGCTCTTCATAAAGCAACACTGGAGGATCACCTTCATTCATTATATTGTTATGGTGACATGATGAATCTTCTTGGCAAACTCACCTCAAGTTCATTCAGTCTTTGTACTCTAGGAGTGAAGCGAAAGTTGCGCACATCGCAGGCAAATGGAGGCTGCCAGTCCTGATAGACAGGAAAACAGAAACATCAGCTCTGCCCAAGACAACATCAACAATGAGGAAATGACAGCAACAACACTGACAACTTGGAACAAATCAATGTTTCTCAAGAAAAAAAGAGCATGAGCAGGGCTTTTTTTTTAAGTAAGGTTGATTCAACTATTGCATTCACAACAAACCACTACTCATACACGAGTGCCATTGAGTCTATTTGTGTACAGTACAACTGTGTATACTTCTGACTGTTTGAAGCCATTATTTTCTAAATTAATAAAATGCTTTGGTCACACACGCGATGCCCCAAATTTTTAAAGGTCCAAGAAAATTAAAATGATCCGGATTGGATGCTTGTATGTCAATAAAACACATCATAAACAGCAGAAATATGGGGTTATGGTCTGACAGGAGCTACAGGCCTGCATATGGCTCAGTGTCGCATCTTCGCTGCTAGCGTGGTCCAGTCGTTGTACTGTAACTTAGCTAGCCGCCAGGAAAACAAAAACAAAGCAATTGTGGGAACTGTTGAATTTACTTTGCCCTTTTAAAACTTTTCTGAACAACCAAGGAAAGCCAGTGTCATCCTAGTTCAAAATATGCTCGCTTGGGTGCAAATAAATTAAGCCTTATTTGACCTCTATTAGAGTAATGGCAACTAGTATTGTCGTTGCCTATTGCAGAATTCACGCAGGCCCAAAGTAAAGCAGCGCTACCTACGTAGGCGCATAAGAGGCAAATCCTCACAGGTTTTAATCCACTGTTTAAGATGACATGAGTTTACCTCAGGGGGTCGGATCTTGCAGATACCCGTTTTCTCTGCAATGGGTCGGATTTTGTTGATGAATCCTAAAGGATCTGAGAAATCCTCCCAACTCGGCTCAAAAACCGGGCATTCAGGAGGTGGGACGAACTCAGCAAATGCAGACATGTTTGAGTGGTTCCAGTGAAACAATCTTTTTAAAAAAATATGACAAAATGCACCGAGTTGAGCTCAACAGCCCATGATTATTTCCAATAATTTTCTTCTTGTAGAACTTCCTCCGTGTCCATCATGATCCTTCAAATTCCCTAAATAGCAAATCACTTCAGTGACAAGGCATCCCTGCCGCGATGGCGAATCATAATCTGGTCTGAAAGTGAATACATAAATACAACAAACGAGCAGCTGCTGATCAGTGTTTTCCCATCATCCGTAAACAGCGGGCCGGGCCAGGCCGGGGAGTCTCCACCACCACTCCCCTACCTGGGACGGAGGGCAGGGTCAGTCCGAAACGCCATCATTCCTTCTCACCGACGACAGCTTCTCGAAAAACAACTCAGCTGTGAAGACTTGGGCCAGGGACGACAACAGAATTTAAACTAAGTTTGCAAACACAAAACAAAAACACTCCTGCTTTACAACGTTGGCTGTGGTTTTATGTTGCGCAGGCTAGCATTGCTACTGCTACGTCTCTGTACCTAGGTAGTGCATGATTTCTTCGTGATGATGCATTTCCAACAAAGTTATCCACGGTTGGCTAAGTCCTGTAGCTAGCTGACAGTGTTTATTAGCTAACGTAATCACGCTCGCTTGTCGTATCTCCCAGAATAAACTCCACTCTTTGCGTCCAATTCTTCGAGCGAGCACCTGATAGCTAAGTACCAGCCAAGCCGGACCACAACAAGGAGGAGGCTAGTAGTAGCAAGCGTACATTGTTGACTGATGTCTTCACTCAATGCATCCACCCTCATTCATTGAAGCATTTGAGGCAATGGAACACTAGCATACAGCTAATTTGGTAGGCTAAAATCAGCTTAGCTACCGCTGCCCGTTGCGCAGCTAACATTAACGTTAGCTAAGAATGTCGGCTGAGCAGGACAGTCCGCCATGGCTTGAATAGGTTCATCGGAATCACATAGAAAAAGGGCATCAATCCTTTTGCTTTGTTTCGCCGAATATCACTTTCCGTATTATTTAACGTCGTCTGTAGATACTGTGGCCGCATTAGCCAACGTGCTAGCAAGGTTGGGAGAGCTTCTGTGATGCCTTCATGGCAACTCGTAAACTTTTTACTACTTCCGAGTTTGCTGGTTATGTAGAGGCAGTGTTTTGCCTGTAAATAGTAGCTTGCAACAACGTTTACCATGGACAACGACTTATAGTTATTCTTTTGTTTTATAAACAGGACAGCGTGGTGATGTTACATGTTATATCAATACAATGAAGGTGAGATAATGCCATTTGTGTAGTAATTAAGGTTACATTTAGCGACCAGACACTGCTGTGGTTGTATTACCTTTACTTGTACGGTTACTATCAAGAAGCAACATTTGAGCGACCATGTACCATTTAAAAAGAATTTGACAGTCTTTTGTACCACTTTACCGGACATTTTCAACAAGCGGAACTTCAAAATTTCCTACAGTACCTTAAGGCAGCATTGTTTTGTTTCTACAAAGCTTTGTTTCAAAGACGAAAATAAATGTGTTCAGATGAATGCGTGACCATATTGAATTTTACTGCTCAGTATAAAAATGTCTCATTCATAAATATGCGTTTGTCACAATAATGATGATACATTTTAGTGTTGCTAACATTTCTAGACAAGTTTACAGCCATAAAATGAGTACCCATCCTCCGCTTCCGGGATAACCCGGAGAGATTGCAGCGTTGGTTCAAATAAGTGAGGCGGAGACAATTGTTTTCCATTTGCCTTTTAATCAGAAACAAAGGCTTGTAATGAAAGTTGTTCATAAAGAAAAATAAAGTGCATGCAATTTAAAAAGAAAAAAAAACATCAAATTCCCTGCTATATAAAAGTTACATCAATCAAACCTGCAGTAAATTGTTTATCAGAAATATTTTATGAAATGTACAATAAAAGTTCTATCAGAATTATTTTCAAAATGCTTTTGTTAAAGCTATAAAGCGAACAAGCCAAGTCATTATTTTGTCTAGTTATTAGACTCTAGATTCTAGTGAATTATTGAAATCTGTGGTGTCTAGTAGTCATCATGAAATGGATACTCTGGATGATCAGACCACCTGTTGAGTCAATAGAGGGAAAAAATGAATTATTCTTATATTAGAGGAGCAGGACATTACTTACACAATATGCATTATACTCACATAAGGAGCTCCACAAAGCGAATATTTGTGTTCAACCCATCAATTGCCTTCATCTCAGCCTCAGAGAGAGAGAAGTCGAATATCTAGTGTTTAAAATAGATCACTCAGATTGCATTTCACATTTTATTTCCTGATTTTTCAAGGTGCATTTTTTGGAGCCATAAAAACAAACCTGAAAGTTCTCCTTTACGCGAACAGGGTTGAAGCTCTTTGGGATGACCACCACTCCTCTCTGCACATTGAACCTCAGAGCCACTTGGGCTGTGGTCTTGTTGTACTTCTTAGCAACCGATACCAATAGCTCATCTTCCAACAGTGGGGGGCATTTCAGGTTTACCCTGTTTAAAATACGGATATTTTACTATGACCCAGCAAATATAAAAGCTGAATTTACAAGTGCAGAGTCTTACACAAGCATATTACTATTCATGGCCAAGAACACAGTGTCTTTATGAAGTAATGTGATGAATAGGCATGTGTCTCCCATACCAGGATGCATCTCTAGATGTCCCCAAGGGGCTGTATCCCACAATGACAATATCATTCTGCCGGCAGTATTCAAGCAACTTTGGCTGAGTGAAATAGGGATGGCATTCAACCTATGTTTAAAAAAGCACAAATATTGTTTGTTAGTTCTTTAGAATAGACTCAATATAATACTAAGTCACTGACATTTTGTTGTGTTTGTCAACCCATTCTCTTTCTTCTATCACTAAAAGTTGAATGCTTTCTTATCATTTGCCCCTTTTTTTCACATAATAGGTTGTATCATTAATGTGCTTTTACCTGGTTTGAGACAGGTTTGTGTTTCAGCCCTGGTTTGTTAAGAATCAGCTCCAGTTGTCGCTTGTTGAAGTTGGATACTCCAAGAGATTTTACAAGCCCCTCGTCTTTGCAAGCCTCCAAAGCCTAACCAGGACATGAACAAGCACAGCCAGAAAATAAACCTGGATTAAACCAGTTTTTTTTTTTTTTTTTTTTTTTTTTTTTTTTTTTACAGGCACACAAACAGCGTACTGTCAGAGGTTTGGTTCATGACCCTGAGGACATAATGATTGGCCAATTTTTATCTCTTTCTGCATTGACCTTTAGACAGTAGTAAGTCTGTAAGTAATATGGTTGTGAATCAAAGGTTTTGTAGGGTTCAAAAGGAGAGAAAAGGGACATTGGATTTACATAATAAATAATTATTTTTAAGTCAATATTGTCCATAAATTATTTAGTATAATTTTTTTTATTATTCCTGAATGACAAGTGCACGTAAACAAGTCTCACCTCCCATGTAGCACAGAGGTCGGTCTCATGATAAATGTACTCCCCATTCTCATCTTTGGGGTAGAAAGTATCTCCTGGCTTAAGAAATCAATAGACATTTTTGTCATATTTAGTGCAGTGAAATAACAAATCTTAAAAAATCTTAAATATTTTTTTAAATGCCCTTTTCACAGATTCTACAGATATTGTGACATTAAATACGTGTATACCTTGAAGGCAGTGGGCATTTCTACAATATAGAGGTCGACATAATCCAGCTGTAATGTCTTCAAGGTTTTCTCCAAAGCAGCACGCACCAGTTCTGGGGGATGGAATGTGTTCCACAGCTGCATAGTCAGTGCAGACCAAAAAGTATTACTTGTTACAAAACTGTAGCTTTCACTATGTAGCTATGAAGACTGGTGTGGGTAAAAAAGTTCACTGGTCCACACCTTTCAGGACAGGCACACAAACAAGCACACTTTCCAAACCTTCCCACAGTAGAAGATGTCCTCTCTCTTCACAGTTCCATCTGCAATTTTTTCCCTTATTGCTTGTCCCACCTCATGTTCGTTGAAATAGACCAAAGCCCCATCAATGTGTCTGTACCCAGTTTCAATAGCCACTTTGACTGATTCATATGAAGTTCCTTTAGGGGTCTATCAAAAAGAAAAGAGAAAAATACGCATCATGTGTTAATGACATCTCTGAAGGCACAGAATGAACAGTGTAAATATTTACTTTTTTGTGACATGCACATCATTTATTAGGTTATGTTCTATGAGCAATTTACTCGAAATATTGTGTCTTACCTTGCGGGGATCCGCATAAGTCCCCAGTCCTATCAAAGGTATGCTGTTCCCATCACTCAGAGGAATGGTGTGGTTCAAAGCCGTCAAGATCATTCTAATCAAAGTGTGACTTCTCAAGACCAAACTTTTGCCAGTGCCTTTTCTGCATGTGTCTATTTGAATCCCAGTGTTATATATGCCATTCAATGCAACGAGATTGGTCAGACTGCTCTGACACAGCAAGACTCCTCCCAGGTACAAAAAGCAGGCTCCTGCACAAGTAAACAAGTAACTAAGAGGGTGATAAAAAATCAACACTATCTTACACATTCAAGCATAAAGACAAATTTTAATAATGACAGGCTACAGGTGAGTGAGTGAAGATGTCTCATTTAAAATTGCGCTCTGTAATACGAAGTTTGGCCGTTACCGGGCGCTGTAGCTTTAAAGCACCGCAGTGCCGTTTGGGTAATATATGGTATGTGTTTTGAGCTACGAAAGCACAGATGTTCGCCTTTCCTATGGACATAAGAGCTTCAAAATACTATGTATGTAGGATAATGTTAATTCATATGTGACTGAGCGCTGTTATCTTTTGCCTCTTTTAATAAGAACCGCCACAGACCGGGGGATTCATTATTTATTGTCTGTACCATATGTGCAATTAAATCAGGCTAAGTTGCTAATTTAGCCCCCAAAGCGGAAAGAAATAGACTTTAACTAATGCCGGTATTGTACAGTTCAATAAACCACTTTCCAGGATGATAGGGATATGTCTTAAATGTTGTAATGGATTATATTAGTGTTAATATTCCTTATCCGGCTTGTTAAGTTAAAATTACAGGCTGTCCTTTGTTTCCAACCGCAACGCTATATTGATTGGTTGCCTGGAAAGATCGGGAAGCAGCAGTAAAAAAAAAAATGGACGAAACTGCCGAAAATGTTGACAACGACGACATTGTCATCATTGTGGAAAACGAAGCAGAAAGTTTGCCCGCCGAGGAGGAGAGACTGAAACAGCAAGGCACATTCGGGCTCATGGACACTTGTCCCATCTGCAAGTTGAGCTTCCACAACAGAGAGCCAAAACTCCTGCCGTGTCTCCACTCCTTCTGTAAGAGGTGTCTGCCTGCCCCCTTCAGGAGTGCTGACCCGAGGCGTGACTCGCAAGGTCAAGTCGACAACAACAAACCATGTGAGAACAGTCAGTTGATATGAGGTCATGTAGGTCCCTGATATAGTTGTGATTGATGTAACTGTGGTAGATTGTGATGGAGCTCTTTATACTTAGCTGGAAGTGAAGCAGGTTGGTTTAGCCAGAGAATATGAATGGTGATGACTAATATCCTAGTCTGAAAGCATGAAATCACTACTATAGATGCTGTGTGTATTTATTTTGCAACACGGAATGATTTAAGTGTCTGTGAGCTGACACCTTGAATAACGGATCTGGTTTGTTGCTCCAGTGGGTGCTATTCGATGTCCAGTATGCAGACAGGAATGCTGGGAGATGGATGTGCTGGATAATTTCTTTGTCAAGGACTCCGCTGAGGTGCCAAGCAGCACTGTGGAGAAAACCAGCCAGGTTGGTCATCACCTGCATATCCTGAGCCTTAACTTTAACAACAGTTTGGTTGTATGACACCACTCAGACTACAGTGGTGATTTTAATTTGCTCAGCCTTCTTTTGCTTTATTCTTTACTCGTATCTTTAATAGGTGTGTATGAGCTGCGATGACAACACAGAAGCAACAGGTTACTGCGTGGAGTGTGTGGAGTTTCTGTGCGTGACATGCATCGAGGCTCATCAAAGGGTTAAGTTCACAAGGGATCACACCATACGTCAGAAAGAGGAGATGTCTCCAGGTATTATGTGTCCACAGCTAATTTTCTGTAATAAGATTAACCAAAAGTAACAGTTGCTAAATATTGGATTGAGACAATTCAGCAAACAATATTAGGTGCTCCGCAGGCGTTTACACTCTTCACCCAGTTAAAGAAAGGAGGGCAAATGCGCTGAAGAAATGGAAAATGTTAGCAGTTAGGTTGTTCAACAAGTTCATCAAGGCAGGAGCACTGGCAGGCGCGCAGAAAAGATGCAGCCATTCCGTTGCTTGGCAGTGATGGTTTTCCACCTGCCAAGTAGTGTAGACAAGCTATTGTGCCAAGATACCATTCATGAAATTGAAGGTGTAGATATTTTTAAAAAGCTGAGGAAACATTTAAGGTGACATAAGCCGATAGTACATTTCTGTGTGTTCTTAAGTTTCCCACTTATCTGTATCCCAGAAGCAGTAGGTGTTTCCACACAGAGGCCTGTGTTTTGTGACATCCACAAGCAGGAGCCACTGAAGCTGTTTTGTGAGACGTGTGACCGACTCACCTGTCGGGACTGTCAGCTGCTTAAGCACAAGGATCACAAGTATGCAGATTTTTTTTTTTCTTACCATAAAATAGTGTATTTTTCTATTTATTTTGGATAAAAATGGTAATTGGTGTATGGTATATTTACATCTTGCAGTGGTGATGCAGCCTGTTGCACCATTGTGACCATTGTGGAGAAATTAGAAAGGCTGCTTCTGAATTTAAGCAAATGATTATTTCTGTGATTTGAAATTTGATGAGGTCATATGTGTTTATGTGAGAAGGTGATTACTATCAGAAAAGGTAAAAAAAAAAAAATATTTGTCATAATTTTTTAAAGCTCCATTGTCTCTCACTGAACAAGGATACCCAATGATTAATTCAGTTTCCATTCATTCACCACACATTTTGATATTCTTTGTGTCTAGCTACCAGTTTTTGGAGGATGCGTACAGAAACCACAGGCAGTACCTGGAGAACATGACGCAGCAGTTGCAAGAGAAAAGAAAGGCCATCGAGGACGTTTCCGGCTGCATCAGCACAGGGTAAATTTATCCATCACAGCTGGAACTTGATCAGACTTTCTGTTTTCTATGTATTTTAGGTGTAATACTGTGTTAGCAACATAACCTGATAATCTTGATTTCCCAGACTCCAACAAGTTGAAGAAAACCGGAAAGCTGTCACAAATGAAATAAAGAAGTCCATCTGTAATTTGATAATGGAGATCAACAGGAAGGGGAAGATTCTGGTTAACCAGCTTGAGGTACAGTGTGTTTATTCTGCACTGTGTAAATTGTGGCCGTCTGTTTTCTGACATTTCATGAACACGTGTGCTCTCAGGCTCTGACTAAGGACCATGAGTTGGGTTTGAAAAAGCAACAGGAGGACGTCAACTCTCTGAGTAGGCACCTAGACCACGTTATTAGCTTCACCAAATGGGCTACAGCCAGCCATAGTGGAACAGCGCTCCTGTACTGCAAGAGACTGGTGAATTTCTACAATAATTATTTGACAGAAGCGTACAATACTTTGAAAAGAAAAAAGAAAAGAAAAATTCTCTCGCTTTTTATCTCCTAGATCCTTTTCCAGATCCATTACCTGATGAGAGCGAGTTGTAATCCCTCCATCGTCCCTCAGAGTTCTGTTCGTTTCCAGTGCCGCTCTGGTTTCTGGGCCACAAATGTAGACCTCGGTAAGACTTGCATCACCTGAAATTTACAGTACGAGTGAAGCAGCGACGAATACTGTAGAATATAAAATGTTTCCTCATGATTTGTAGACGGCTCAGTGTGTCTTAAAGACCCCATCACCTGCAGGAATAACTGCGGACTACAAACTTTGTTTCAGTCATTACTTTTTTTTTAGCGTATATGTTTGTCATTGCCTGTAATACTCACTGAATAGATGTTAAATCCAATTTCCCTGGTGTACTGTGATGTTTAAAAATCAGAAGCTGACTTTCAAGATAAGGGAAGAGGAAAAACATTTTCTTTTAAATGAAATCTGCACAGTAATGAGCACATAGCTGTTTCTTGGAGAGAAGTGTCGGCCACGTCATCCTCTACTTTCATTTTATCTTTGTCAGATTGCTCTTGAAACTAGTAAACAAGACAGATTGTTTTTGCATCTACGTCTTTCAGTGTAATTAATCTCATCCAGCCTAAATAACATTTTTCTTAATCTTTTGTTTGCACTTGACAATATTATATATTCTCTTCTGCATTATCTTCCTTTTAATTTTAGCACATGGATATACTTCTTTCTCTTCTGATGAACAATTTTGTGGTGCTAATAGTCTTTAAAAGGAATAGGCTAAAATCACCTGTAATCATTACTGCCTCTGCTTTTTAAGTGTCACAGCTAGAATAGTTTTTATTTTGTGCTCGGCCTACAGGCCGCCATTTAGTTTCTCTAAAACCAAATCATCAGGCTTTTCAGTGTGCATGTGCAAAAGTGGTTTTGTCAATAAAGGGGAACTCCACAGAGTTTAGACATCAGAGTCTGTTCACAGGTGCTGCGGGTTCTGCTGCTTATGTGTTATGAAGCCTTTTTATGGCTCCAGAGAGAGCTGGGCCTGTTCATCAGTACGGTCATTGCTGCTCGATGATACGTTTGCTGCTACTAGCATAACACATCCAAATCTCAGACCAAACTGCTACCAGATAAGTAGCATTATTGGTGTAATGCAGGTTCATTCAATTCATAGTTATTTATTAGGTGTTTTAACTGCTTGTTATGTCCAGGTTCTCTGGTAGTAGAAAGGGGCCCAGGACGGCCGCCCATCACCAACCACCAAGCAGCTCCCAGAGCAGAAGCACCTGCTGGAGGTCTGTCGGTCTCAGCTCAGCAGCGACAGAGCACGCTGGCTCAGCTCCAGATGCAGGTATGACTGTCACCACAGCCAGTAGTTTTAATGACCTCAGGATGAAATGAGTTAAAATGAATATGTAAAGGTTCAATTTCAATATGTACTTTTTGCTTAATGCTCTAATACTGTGAGATATTCTCCGTGCTTTTTTTTATCTTTCTTTTATATGATAGCTTATAAATGTCAAATGTCAATGAGCACAGCCTCTACCAGCACCGATTAAACTGTTAACTACCCCTCTGTCCAAGGTTGACAAGCTTTCCCAACAGCCCCACAGACAGCCCCCTCCCAACCACTGGTCCTGGTACCAGAACGTAAGGCTCCCGGGACCCCCCGGCCCACCACCCCCAACCAGGCCCATCCATGGAGGCTCCTCCCCCTCCCAGGGACCCCCGAACTTGACACAACCAGGACGCAGGTACGG